TTTTCAATGAAGGATTTTGCTTGTGTTGGGATATCTGGTGCTTGTTGAGCTAGTGTAACTAGTTCAACCACATCCTTGTTTAACGTTTTCTATTAACGAATCCGTTTTGAATTGGTCTTGTAAAGCTTTCAGCTCATCTTGGATTTTTTCAGAACATAATTGTTGGCACTCGTATGGATGTTATCATCTATTTCTTTAATCAGAGCTGCAGGGAACTGATTTATTCGACCGAATGATGGAAACCTAATTTTCTATTCTTGGTCTTGTCTAGTTTCAGCCGAAGAGCTTTGACTTTTTTAGTCATCACAATGATATGATTGTGATTGCTGGCCAGGATTCGTTTGAGTAGCCAGCCCCTTTCCTAACAGCTGAAAATTGAAACTATTTGTTGATGATGATGGTTAGGATGTAAAAGAAGAGGAAAATGCGCCGCTGGCAAAAGTTATTCTGTTGAAATTAGCTAAAGCTTTTGCGTGTCTTTTGTTATTACTCATTTTTGTATGTGACGAAGAGGTCTTCTCAAAAATTTCATATATTAGCGAAATGAAGAATTATTTTTGGGAGAAATTCTTTTTTCTATATTTATTACATGTTAAAGCCACGTTGACTTATATATAATGAATGCAGCGTTATTGAATTCATGCTGATAGTGGAAACATGATTCGTTGTGTGATATAAAATATCACTTTAGTGAGAATTTTCTTTTGAAATTAAATCCTCAAAGTCGATTTGAAGCAATTACATAGCAAAATCAATTTCGATACCGACACGACTAGTCAAAATAGTTTCAGTTTCATGCATACCTAAAATGTATACTAGAATTACAACACGTTTATTACGAAGTGAACCACATTATGTCATTTAGTGAATTGAGCTTTGGTCATAAAGGGAAATAAAGGGAAAGGATTGGTAACCTATTTCTCTGTTATTGAATATTTATTTTTTTTCAAGGATTAAATTGAATAAGATATTGCGTTGTCACAATTTTATTCACATAAAATGCTTGATGTGGAATTTATTCTGCAACTGCTTGTATCTTCACAAAAATATATCATCTTTGAAGTATAATCCTCTGGAAGAGGCAACTACATTATATCACACACGAAGAAAATTATCACAATCAACATCTGAATTAGAATCCCGAAATATTAATAATAGACAGGTTAGGTTTGAATTTGCGTATTCATCATCAAAAATTTGAAAACTTACTATACAAAAATGCCGTTTTTTAAACGATTTGAAGTCATAACGTTTAGAGATGTTAATGGTCCCAAACAGCTCGGGCCGGTCTTGGGAAAGTCCTGAAAAAGACTTGAGCTTTTTCTTAAACACAAAATGTTTGTAATGTTATTTAAGCTAAACAAAACAAATGAAACTAAAACAATTTCTACTTCGATATTGCTTGTGTCTTTTCCGAATCCAACCTATTTCGAGTCGGTAAACATTTGTTCGCTTGATACACATGTAGCTTGTAATGCTAAATCAAGTTTGGGGCAGCATTCAAAAATTCAGGGTATTATTAAAATTCAATGCCATTTAAACTATAAAACAAAGAATTGTAACTTATAAATGATATTAAGACCTTATCATTCATTTCTCATATTGATACAGCCTCATGAATAACATTCATCCTTTTGTCAGTGATGTTTTAAAGATGTATGGAATGCTGGCAACTAATTTTGTTTTTATTTTCTTCTAGGTTCTCTCTATTGATTATTGTTACAATCTTTGTTCTTTCTGGTAAACTTCATCATCAGGAAATTTTCCCCGCCGTAATATTACGTTCATAAATTTTAATATGTAAAGTTATAATATTTGCATAAAAAATTATGTAATATTTACACTCAATGTAACAATTGCATAATTTTTGTATGATTTTTGCATAATATTAAGGCCGCCGTAAATTTTTGTAAACCCGCGTCAGAAAAAATTTCTTGATGATAAGAAATTCTAAATATTCTTTGCATTATTTATTTTAAAGCAATTTTCTCATATAGGGATGCTCCTATATGTCATTTAAAAAAGTAGAAAGGTATCATCATAAGCGTGCTTGTCCAAAATATGAAAATAATAACAATAATATATGAAAACAATCTCCCATTGTATCTATTGCTTAATAAAAAAAGAAAGGCCGTAAAATCAAAAGTAGCTTGTTATTGAGATGACTGGTAAAGCTTATAGAAATTTACAAAAGTTACCCACCCACTTAGTATTTCTTTTTTTTTGAGGAATTTCTGAAAAACTTTCGAGAAGGAAGGATTATAAGCGTGGGTTGTGGCATGAAAGCACCTAAGTAGTAAAAAAGAAACCAAGAAAAAAATCCAGAACTTTATGTATGTTTCACCAGGAATATTTGAAGCTCCGCTTACTTTTATTGCTGGAGAGGGGATTTGGTTTAGTGAATTGCTGGTAATTATTGGTTATTTTAGAAAACCACTTTAGAAGAAACAGTGATTGAGAAACTTTTAGAATAGGATGTAACAATAATAAAAAAAAAAAAAGAGACAGTCTAAAGGATTTTTGGCAAGTTTAGATTGGAACTTACAAAAAATGAAAGATACAGGCCATTCTGCTCAAAATACTCACTCAAACTTCAATTTAAGCATTGATAATAGCACTAGGGTTATTATTGGAACTAACGTCTCCGGTTGAAACTACCTCTCTCTCTTAGTACCGAAACGCTGGGCGAAAATTATTTTTTTATAGACCCAAATTACTTTTTATTAATAGCGAAATTATTTTTAAATTATTTAAATTGAAATAGGTAGATTTATGGTCTTTTCTGCTCATTCTCACAAAAAATATTGAGAAACCAAACTATTGCCAAAGCTACTTTTTCGAAAATAGTTTGGACCGGAAACCTTAATCAGGATCAGCTTTGAGCAGAAAATTTTCTGGTTCCATAAATTCTATTTTTGGTACCGATTTACATAATGTAAAAAAAAAAGTTCACATACATATAAAACCCGCTATTTTGTGTATTAATAATATAAACCCTTATAAAAAATTTTGTATGAAACATGTATGGAGAAATGTTACCTTTATTATTATTATTATTATTATCATGATATTCTTTGTATGCTTTCCGTGCATTCTTCGTATTCTAACATGTACTGGAAATGTATTAGTATGATGATGGAAAATTTTTTTTTATATTTTCCGTAAATTCCATACAAAATGTATTCTTTCCAGGTAAAATTCTGGGCAAATTCCATACAGTAAAAAGAGAAAAAGTGTGGTTTTTCGTATTTATTTTTCACAGTGAATAATGATGATGCTGAATGCTCGTCAGAACCACCTCCGGGCTGATTAAACAATTCGTTTTGTTGTTGATGATAATATTGAGGTTCATCGGTATTAGAGAAAGTATCGATGATGATATGTATTATTAGTAGAAGCTGCTTTTTGAATTGGGACAAACACTTTGTTGTTGTTCATCATTATTAGTAAAAGAAACTGTCACTTGAACTGGATAAACACTTTGTTGTCGTTGTTCGTTATTATTGGTAGAAACTACTTTTGAACTGGATGAACATTTTGTTGTCGTTGTTGTCGTTGTTGACTATGCAATTTTTTACCATTATTATCAGAAGTTGTTTTTTGAGCTAGGTTTCCTTGTTTTCATTTTTAACTTTATTCAACGTTTTCAGTCAGCCAATAAAAATACAAATTTAGAAACTATCTCCAGAAACCCAAAATTTGATTGGATAGTGGCATTATGTTCACTTAGGACCCCTGAATATACTAATACTAATTAGAAGTAAAAGCTCACTTAGTTGCGCCACAGTATATACAGGGTCTCGTTCACTTTTTAGTTTTGGCTTTATTAAAATTTAAAACACTATTCATTATTATTATTATATATTGGTATGGATAATTTATTTTCCAAATAATTAATTATAATTCATAAATACTCTCATTCATATATGATGATAATTTGTTATATGAATTAAATTTCAAATTCTAAATCTTCTTCCCTTTCTTGACTCTTTTCTACTACTTACTATATAGTAATATATCTCGTACAAGGCAATAATATCCACGAGTAAAAAAAAAAAGTTTTGAAAGCGCTCTGTCTAACGTTTCATATGTTGGTTTTTATTAATAATAATCATTCACAGGAAATATTTACCAAAAGATTTCGAGAAAACAAAATGTCTTTTAAATCTAATGTTTCTCGAGCTAGTATTTTTCCCAACAATCCGTGCGTCGATAATAAAAAGAAATATTTTTTCCTATATGCGTAATTAATGAAATCGCAAACATGTATATTATAAAAAAATTAACACGTCTCTGCTTCCAACGTTCCTTACTCTCAGATGAGTGAGTGTGTGTATTAGTATGTTATCTTTTAAAGATTAAAGAAGTCAAAAATAGATTTGGTAAAAAAAAATGGTGTGGTTTGGTTTGGCTCCCTCGAATATTATTTGTCTATTAAACGAATTTTCTTGCTTATCTTTTTTGTGATTCATTATAATTTTGTTTTTTCCTGGCTAAAATGTTTCGAGCTTTCCGAAATGTTGTAAATGTTTCTTTTACAAAAAAAAAACGGATTTGTATTAATTTTGTACGTGTGAATGGAATATTGGAAGAAATTGAAAATCAAAGAACCTTAATTTTTTTTATTGTGTGAAAACAAGTTACTCTACTTGTTTTTATTATTTTCGAATTTATCAGTAATTAATTTAATATTAAATTAAACTCGTTTCACAACCACAACGACAATAATAGAAGTTTAGAATCTTTAAATTCTTTTGTGGATTTGTTTATGTGGTAAAAATAATATATATATTTCTCCCTGTACAACACAACGTCTTTCATTTAACAGATAATACATTATTATAAAAAAAAAAAAAAATACAACTGTATTTTTAATATTAATATTTTTTTTGTCTATAGACACACAACAAATAATTAACAATAATATTAATATTAATAATAATAGTATAATACTAAATTGCGATTTTTTTAATAATAATATAAAACAACTAGCCTTAATGATGCACACATTGGATTTAGCGAATTTCCCTGTAACAGACACTCTAAAGATGTTAGCTTCACTACTAGAGAAGATAACAAACGCCAACGACCAACTAAAAACACATAATAATAGTAACAGCAATAATGAAACAATTTCTAACCAACAACAAGCCGTTACTCCTTTCACGCGATTTCATGCACGTTCAGTACCTTCAATAGATATCCATTCTTATCTCTCCAGGATATTGAAATACTGCCCAACTTCAAATGAATGTTTTCTTTCTTTACTGGTATATTTTGATCGCATGTCAAAGAATGCAATGAAAACAACAGGGAAACCATTTTCCATAGATTCCTTCAACATACATCGTTTAATAATAGCTGGTATTATGGTTTCTTCAAAGTTCTTTTCTGATGTATTCTTTACAAATTCAAGATATGCAAAGGTATGATTGTTAAACATATTAAAATGTATCTATAGATTTAATTTTACTTTTTAATTTGGAGTAGTAGTATTTTATATTATAATAATTTTAGGGAATTTGGAAAAGAGAAATGGATAAATGGATAAAAAAAAAAAACCAAATAAATTAGAAAAATACTAATTTGTTTTCAAAAAAAATTATTTTTTTCATTAAAAATAAAAAATATTAGATAAAAGAACAATTCTTAATTTCATAATTATTTTATTATCTTAAATATATATCTTAATTTTACAAGTAATTTTTGTATTTACAAATATTATATAATATTTATATATATATTTTTATATATAAATGTAGGTAGGAGGATTACCAGTTTCAGAATTAAATCATTTAGAATTGGAATTTCTAGTATTGAATGATTTTCGTTTAGCTATTACAGTTGAAGAATTACAAAGATACGGCGACCAGCTACTTAAACATTGGGTAATGGAAGAGGAAATTAACAAAGGTGTGGTAATTTGTGAGAATTCAAGATTAACGAATGGAAATTCAAATAGTAGTAGTAGTAGTAGTATTAGCAATAATAGTAATAATAATAATGTCAATAGATGGGATAATACCAATAAAAGAACAAGACGTCAGCCATCTACTGATGAAACATCTAGTAGTAGTAAAGGTGGGGGTTCAAAATCGTTAAAAGAAGAAGATTCAATTTACCACCATCCCAATAACAATAGCAATGGGAGTAATAATCATTTTGGCAGAGGTCATCGTAGAGAGAGCAGTCATCCAGCCAAACCGATAAGCAACACAACTTATCAAACTACATTGACTTCTTCACCTCAAATATATTCATCCTCATATTCATCAAAAACACCACCGCAACCACCTTCTTCTATATTAACGAATTCCCCATCTTCACCGTCATCAATGCTTTCAAATACATCAATAAATGGAAATAGTAGCAACAGTAGTAATAATAGCAGCCAACAAATTCCAATAAATGGATCACCTATGCATGCGCCATTTATATCAAATAGTGTGTTTAACACCCAGCCACATTTTCATCATTTACATAAACAGTATGCGCATCATTCTCAATCTCAACATGTACGATCAATGAGCCTAGGCTCAACAGTTAAACGTGCAAATAGTAGTGGTTCATTGCTTAGTCGTGCTAGAAGTGGTGATCTTACTGATGAATTACAACAATATCATCAACAGAGACACTCTTCTCCAAAACCAATAATAAATCCTGATGATCTCGCTTACAGAACTGCTGCCGGTGCTCCTCCGTTTGTTCCCCCGCCACCATCACTGCAATCAAAACAGTCTTCTTCAATGAATGGTAAAATATAATTGGTTAATAATTAACCAATAATTGATTTTATTAAAATAATTAAATAATTAGAAACAATATATAATTATTTTACTTCATTTAGCTTCTTCATATCAATACGCAACTCCATCGTCATCATCATATCCTTTCTCAGGATATCCCCCGCCTCCTTCAACACAATCATTAACAGGTTCATCGTCATCATCATCATCATCATCATCAATAACAATACCTGTTAATTCATCAACGCAATCATTACCTTCAACGCCTGTCACAACTATACCACCACCACTTACAGGAGGGTTTTCAATCAATCCTGCTACCGCAATTGGAAATGTCGCACATTCAGCAGCTGTTGCCGCTTTAAGTTATGCGCGTAGAGCTTCGCTTGCATTACCGCCATTACCACGTCATATTGCCGCATTTCATACAAGTTCATTGCCATCGCCTATCACAACCACTAATCCTACTACCAATACTAACGGTAATAATAACAATGGAACCATAACCAACACGACGACGGCAAAGAAGAAAAATAATAATAACGATATTTTAAATCCAAATACAACGAGACGCTGTTCTGTACCTGCTTGGAGTGGAAGTACCCTATCAAAAGGTAATCAAAAGATTCTTTAAATATTTTTCTTAATAATCATAGCAGAGTTAATAATTATAGTAGTATAGTAGTAGTAATAATAATAATAATGGTGATAGTAGTAGCAGTGAGTTAACATTAGAAAAAAGAAATTCTAATTTATTAATTATGAATAATAATAATGGTTCATCACCAATTCTTAAAAATTCAATAGCAACAAATTCAGTGATGGTTAACGGTTATAATGGTTCAGCATCAATACCGATAGCACCAGAAATTCCAAGAAGAGGTAGTTGGGTTATAGTTAATAATCCTACAAATCAAGCAACTCACTATCACCACGGACATTATTCTCATGGTGGTCATCATGATTTACATCATCATCATAGTTTTACAAATATAAATCAATACCATAATCAACAACAACAATATCATCAGCAGCAATCCCTTCTTAATCAAAATTATCAACAACAACATTATCAACATCATAATCATCAATATCAACAACGTAATAATAATCATAATAACAATCAAAATAATAATAATAATCAACAAAATCAAAGCCAAAATCAAAATCATTGTGATTTACAAAGTCGCAATGGAAACGGCAATGTTTCAAGATCATCATCATCTGATTCTTGCCATTCTTCATCGACCACGGAATCAGGCTCTAGTAGCACGGCGTCAGATACATCAGGATCTTCTACTACTACGACTATAACTGCTACAAATCCAACAACAAGATCCATCATTTCAACTACTAAATTATCATCTTCATCTTCATCTTCATCATCATCTTCATCGTCATCATCTTCTACAACAAACATCAATAATACTAATTCTACTACTACTACAACTTCACGTTTACCATCAACAGGATCAACAACAGGTGAAATTATAACTACCACTACCTCTACTACCACCAATAATAACAAATCCACTTCTCCATCCTCCCCACCCTCCCCACCTTTGCCATCTTCACCATCATCTTCACCTTCTTTCCATACCACCACCGCTAAATCTACACCTTCGACAATAACAGCAATAACGACTAAAGTCGATGCTAATATTAGCGACAATAATGACAACAAACTTAGTAATATAAATGGCATTACCAGCATTACAAATAAATCAGGTAATATTTTTTTTGTTCTTTCTTTAATTGGTTAATTAATTAATTTATTTTATTAAAATTATATTAATCAATATTTATTTAACACACAATTATATATAAATGAAATTTATTTCTTAGATACAGAAAATCAATCAAAGAAAAATTAGAGAGAATTGAGAATTGGGAAAGAAAAGGAAATGGATTTTAAATTATATTATTAGTGGTATTAGTGTTAGTATTATTAGTTTGATGATTTTAGTTCTTTTTTTTTAAAATTTTTTTTATTTTTTTTTTAAAAAGGTAGAACTTTGGTAAAAAATTAATTATCTTGCATTTTTTTTTCTTATATCTTTTTGCATTTTAATATTATTTATTTATTTTATTTTATATTTTATTTTGTAGTTTATTATCTTCTTTATATGAGGACTTTAATTATAAATATCATTATACATATATTATATTATATTATATTTATATACACATATTATCTATATATTCTATATACATATTTTTATTATCATATATATTATACATAACATATATTACTTTTTTTCTTCTTCATGTATATCCTTTTTCCCTTTCTTTTTAGGAAATTTTATATCACATCATATATCATATATCTTTTATTATTATTTTTATCATTTTTATATATCCCTTTATTTTTTTATATTGTATGTAGCTATTTTTTTTTTTTTTTTTATTTCTAAAACCAAAAAAAAACTTATAAATATATATATATATATACCAAATTTATCAAAAATTATGTTATTTTTAATATCTGATATTTCAATTGACATTGCTAATTCAATTTGATGGCAATTTATAAATGTTAATGTTTGGTAGAAAATGGTAATATCTATTATCTATTTATTTATCTATATTTTAAAAAGGACAATATTTACGATCGCTGTCTGGCGTAACGTGACATATCCCGCCCGGTATGTGAAAGATGGATGGTTTATAAATACGATTGATTTTCGAGTCAAAATTCAAAGAATTACTTTCTTATAAAGCAAGGACTCAAGATTTACTTGCATTCCTAGTTCAAAAATAAATAGAGTAAAGCTTTATAATTATTAAATTCTTAAATTATTCAATATCACTAGTGACGCATGATTGAAATATATTTCTTTTTAAATTAATAGAAAAAATAAATCTAATAAACTCTTATTAATAATGATATCTATCTGAATAAAAGAACCATAAGTGCTATATTTCATAGTATAGGTTTTAAAACCACTAGCAACCATAAGATCAGTTAAAGGCAGGCAATAAAAATTTATACATAATTTTATTGCCTAGCGAATTCATAAGGGAAAAAGTTCACCTGAAAACCAGGTCTTCAAAAAATTGTTTTATTATCTTTATTAATGTCACTAGCCGCATGTACAATTGTCATTATATCTTTGCCGTCGTTATTATTATTATTGTTATCATTACTATCGTTGGAATTTTCAAGTTTCATTGATTTTGTTTGATTTTACCGATAATTTCATTCACTGGTTCTTAAAAATAATAATCACCAACTATCGCGTGTACTGATACGAATCTCCCAATCTTTCTATTATTAAACAAGTTACTGAGGAGACTTTTAAGACTTTAGGTAAAAATCATGTTTAAATAGCACATCATACCCGATATCAGATGTGTACAAAAATAAAACTGATGATGTAATAATAAACTCTACTTACTAGTCAAATTTATTACTAGTACAATAAAATTCTGCTTACAATTTAATTTTTCGTGGTGCAATGGCAACCACATTTTTAGGTCGTTTAATTAGTAAAGGTACTATTTTATTATTATTGATTAAAATAAATATTTATCCCAAAGTCTTATAAAAGGAATTTTTTGCGCATTCTTATAACATACAGTACAAGGAGTACAAAGAGCCTTTAAAAAGTTTGTTGACTTGATTCAAGATAATGCAGAATCCAAGGTATTCCATTTTTTTCGAAACATGTATTTTGAAATAAGCCAACAGTCCGTTTCTCCTAGGTGATCAGTCAAATCGAAAATGAAGTTAATGCAGAACTACGCGAAGTACATGATGTGGATATTATAGAACTTGAATTACCAGAAATAAAGGCCAAGGGCAAAAAACGTGATAAAATTTTTGAAGCGATCCATGATATTTTTAACATCGAAATTATTGACAATAAATTATTCATAAAAGTGGGTTTACCATTTTGTTTTATAATTATTTTACATGCATTTTCTAATTCTTTTGTTACTATTCAGTTGGATGGTGGGATAAAAACAGAAATACATAAGAAAGTAATGTATTCACTTGATCAACAACTTCCACCAACTTGGTGGACTCAAATTAATACAATATGTGTGGTTAATGGTAATCAGTATCAACCTGATGTGGGCAGTTGGAATCCTAAACCAGCACGTAATCAAAGACTTACTCCTATTATTAATCCATGTCCACCACCATTGTTATGGATTGAGGTAAAGATTTTATTTCCTTATTTTCCAAACTATGCAACTATTTTTTAACAATAGGCTAATCAAATATTTATAGGTGGCCTATGACAATTCTGGAGATCATGATAATGGCATAAATAAAATCATGTGCATTCAACCCCACTGCCCAAACACAACATAGCGGGGCTTTATCTGTGATTGGTTGATCCATAAAGAAATTGATTGGATAATTTTATAATATGCCGATCATTATTAAAACTT